GTGATCTTTTTATGTCAATCCCCTTCTCATTCTGTTTTATTTGGCTGCTTGGCCAGAGGATGATTTCATATAATTTTAATTGCTTCAGTTTCATAGAATAATTATGCATTAAATTCACAGTAATATTAGGATTAATTTTTCATAATTTTACTTTTAACCACTTAAAAGTTAGTTTATGAAAACTGGGCAAGTTGTATCTGTAGCTTATAGTCCCAGTTTCTTGAGAGATGGAGGCAGGAGGTTAGCTTAAGTCCAGTAGTTCAAGACCAGCCTGGATAATATAGTGAGATCTGTCTCAAAATACACAGAAAAAGTAAGTTTTGAACCATCTTCATTTGTCCCTAAAGGACTCTAGAGCATATACATGTGGAGACAGTCTGGTATAATGAACCTTGAAGTCAGACTACCAGGTTCAAATCCTAACTCTGCCACCATGGAGGTCTGTGCCATTTATCTCTGCAGCTCACATGTGCCATCCAAACCTGCTCACACCTGGTCTTGCTTTTACTACACTGAGTAGAATTCTGCTGTGCATATCCAATTTTATGATTTGGAGAATCAAGTATTGCTCTGTTCATGATAAATGTTCTTGTTACCCAGTTTCTTGGTTTTCCATAGCCAGCTATCTAATCTCTACCAGAGCCTAGTAGCAAGTCAGGAATCAAATGGACAGTAGTTGTTGGCAAACCCTAAGAGATATTTAGACCTTAGTCTCCTGATGCTTATCACGAGCCCCTTAACAAATCCATGTCTATTAGGTCATTTCTCATACTGTTGGATGTGCTAAGGCAGAGACTCAATGGTTAGAGCAGTTTTCGTTGTTACAGAACCCTCTCTTTGAACAGGCTTCAATAAAAACTAACAACTTCATGGTTTTTCCAGTAGATGGGTCAGAACATCGTGTCCAAATAGGAAGCATCCAGTTGTTTTTCCTGCTTCTCAGCTAAGCAGTGCAAGGTATAACTGTTTCTCTGACTTGAGATTAGACATTCTGCCTCAGACCAGTGAAACCCTAAAAACCACTGATTCGGAGATTCCTGAACTTCCATGGTATTTTTCTCCCATCCCTTCTCTTGTTTATGTGTTTATGCAAGTGTCCAGGGTACTTGCTACTTTTTGTTCTTTAGGTCCAATTAAGGTAATGCCATAATGTAGTAGACCAGTGTGGTGATCTAAGAAAGGTCACAGCCCTCCAGACTGTTTTATTATGACAATTCACACCTGACCCTCAAGTTAGACAGCAAAAGGGATTAGGTATTTGTGGCAAACTAACTCATTGTCCTTGCTGATGTTGTGAGAAAAGAATGAATTTGCCAGGGCAAGAGTCTCATATCAGATATCAGGGGTTGTGCTGATTTTCTTCAGCCCAAAATATCACATCTAGAATTGCAGTTGTAATTGGAATTACTACCTGATTAAATTTATGGTAATCCATAGTCATGTTCTAGGATGTTTCTGGCTTTGGTTCTGGTAAATAGGCTAGTTAAATGGGAATATGGTGGGATTTAACATCCTTGCATTTAACACCCTTCCAGTTTTTGACGGTGGTACTGATTTCTGAGCTCAGAGTGATATGGTATAATTTTTGTTATTTTTTTAGTTGGAGCAAGGAAAATAGTTCGAAGAGCTTTAAGCTTGTAATCAAATTGACAGTAGTTGTTGTCAAACCCTTGGGGGGTCTACAACTCTTATTCTTCTCTCGATGCTTGTCAGAGGCTTCTGCATGGTCCTTTCTCCTGTAATAAAATTTATGATGTAGGGCAGGGAGCCAATGTGGGGATTTGGGCTAGTTACTATTATATTGATTTCCACTAAAATTTATAGGACTAGGAAAATAAACACAAGGTAGGCTTATGGTTTTATTGGACCCACTTGAGTTATGAGGGCCACCTTCATCTCTGGGAGTCCCACTCTGACTGGTGGGCCACATTTGGCATTAGTATCAGTTCTGAGTTAGTATCCCATCTTATAACTTATGGAAGGATAATAGATTTCCCTTGCTTCAGTTGGACAGTCAACCTTTGGAATTGCTGTAGATCACTCTTTGGAAAGGCCTGGAGAAAGATCAAGAGTATATGATTATGGCCTTGTAAAGGGCCACAATCTTACGTTTAATCTTCTTTGGTCTAATACTATTTGAATATACTCCCATATGTGCTTCTCAGACTCTTACTGGTAAAAAATTGAGATTTTGCAGATTTTCTTCGGTATAAAGGCAGTCTTCTTTTAGAGTAGTACTTGAACTTCTTTCTGGGCTATTTTGGGTTATGAGGCAGTGAAGCGTAGCAGGAGCAGGTAGTCAAGAGAATGGGAGTCCTCTTGTGAAACAATCTCAAAGGATTTTATGGGGTACATTGGTAGTCTCAGTACCCTCAGGGATGCAGATAACTGCTTTCAGCAGGGAACTTGAGCTAAATTGGAGTTCAGTTTTTTTAGTGTCTTCCCAGCTGTCTCAATCCATATTTCTGAATCATTCTGCTTTCCAGCCAGTGTCCCTTGTGTTAGCATATGAGACTTTGCAGTGTTGCAAGTTTAATTAGCTTTTGTAATCCTTCTGGGCTTGATTTTTAGTCCTATCAGCTTGGCAGTTTTAAGACATAATAGATTCTCTAAAACATCCATAGATGGATATCCATATATTTGGGAATTCATGGCTTTCAACTTGTCATTTGCTTTGTGCACATTCTCAAGAACAGCCAGAAGCAGCCCTAGCCCATGTTACAATCTCTGAAGTAAACCTTTTCATGAGCCACTCAGATTTCTGGCACCCTGCCCTCCACCTGCATTCCATCTTGTAACACCATGCACAAGAAGTAATTGAAATGGTCATGATGTCACTGTGTGCCATCTCCTTCCTCCTTAAGAAGGTTATCAGGACACTTATCAAATATATATCTCACTTTTGAGGTTCTGTTTCCTAGGACCATTGTTGGTACCAGGTAACTGCATTAGTTACAAGGCATACTAAAAAGTAATGAAGGGTGTCTAACAAAGGAATGTTTATTAAGGTGTTGTGGGTAGGGTTAAGGCAACCAAGGTATGGTTGAAGTCCCTCTTTCCCAGCAAGGTCAGGAGCCTATCATTACTCCTAGTCCTTGAATTATAACTGGGGTAGAAGAGGCTGCCTGGTAGAAGCTGGCCTTAGATAGAGAAATCTTTTGCTGTCCAATATGGATCAAAGGGATAATAACCTTAGCATCTCACTGCTCCTGCCCCTATTCTACTAGTGCCTCATAGTGAGGCACTGAATCTAACCAGAGGACAAGGGCAGAAGGTAGATGGCCTCTGTTTGTAGCGCATACAGGTCAGCTTTCTGGGATGTGGCAGGGTGGAAAAATATAGGTGATTTGATATGGAAGAGTAAATGGAGTATACATAGATATAGCACAAAGTGGAAACTCTGGCCAGGTTTGAGTGTGTACCTTGAATGTAGGCTTCTACATTTAACTGCCTGCTCTACCTGTAATCTTACATGTCCTCTGGGCACTTTGTATGGAACAGCTTTTTCAACTCTTTCCCCATCCTTCATTCCTGATGCCACTCAATGTGGTATCTTATTGTCCCTTCCAAAGGGAAGGCCTGAGGCCTGATGTTTTCCTGTAATTCTGCTGTGAGTTACAGCACAAAAGGCACAAATGTTTAAATTCATATAAAATTAAGTGCTAGTGGGACCTATGACCCTAAATCCCACATTCTCAAGGGACATGTGTGAATAGTGTAGCTAATAATCTTCCCCCTCAGATTCCCTTTTGCTGCTTGCTGGTAAAGAGTGAGCTATGGTAGGTCATGGGACCCTCAGATTAAACTAATCCAGGAAAATTATCCAGGCATACAGACCATTTAAAAGATATTATTTGGTGTCAGTGGAAAGTATAGTCTGCTCTGTGTAACAAAGGTGACATTAGTGTGACATATCAAGCCCTTTGTTCATGGGTGGAATGATATTAGCATATTGCATTTGTTTTGTGTGAAGATCTACTACAGTGTCTCTGATCACTAATTCAGTGCATAAGAATCATCCACAGTGTTGGATTTTTTTTTCCCCCCTCAGTTCTGGGGATTGAACTCAGGAATGTTCTATCACTGAGCCACATCCCCACTGATTTTAATTTTTTTTATTTTGAGACAGGGTCTCACTCAGTTGCCAAGACTGGCCTTGAGCTTGTGATCTTCCTGCCTCAACCTCCCAAATTGTTGGGATTATAGATGTGCATCTTCTGGCTTCATCCAATTTTTTTGTTAAACTTTTTTTAGTTGTTCATAGACCTTTATTTATTTATACGCGGTGCTGAGAATCAAACCCAGTGTTTCACACATACCAGGCAAATGCGCTACCGCTGAGCCACAGCCACAGCTCTTCATCCAGTTTTTAAAGCATAGCGTGGTGTTTATGAGTTGGGACTCTGGTGCCAAACAGGCTGGGTCAAAATTCTAGATGTGCAAATTATTTATTCTCTTTGTGACTCTCTTTTCTTACTAGTAAAATGGGAATAAATAGTTACCTACCAAACAGGATTGTAATCTGAATTGTTCAGCAGTCACATCACTGGTTTGACCTGATACAAAATCTGAAAGTCATAGTTTGTAGGATGGCTCATAACCACTTCCCCCTCTCATCTCTGCTACCTGTAGAGGAGTCTCTTTCTTTACGTGCTTCAATATTAACTAGTAGCACAGTAGACTACTGTGACAGGAGGGCAAGGCTCTGATCATCCAACCAGAACTCCTTTCGTTAGTCCACACGAACTGCAGCATATAGACTCCTGGAATTTCCAATGGAAAGGAAGGTAGATAGGATACAAATGCTTGATTGTGGTTTAGTGCTAGTAACACAACAGGAAATCTGTATAAATCTGTATAAATCTCTAACCTGGGCTGAGATTTATAAATTTCTGCCAGAATAAACATCAAATGGGTCCTATTTACAAGGAATGACAAATCTTAATAATATTTTTAAGTTATCTTGCTAATCAATTCTTTTTTTTCCCCTGTTGGTTAAGGTTGCATGATGGAATTTGAACATTACTTCAAGAGTTTTCATATTTTGGATTAGTTAATTGTGCTCATCCTCTGTTGATTATTTCTTCGGACTCATTTTTTGGTTTCTTTGGTGCCCTTTTGAGTCATTTAAACGCAAAGAAATTATATCATGGACTACAAGGAAAACTGCCCAAGTGTAAGCATTCCCAGCTCTGATGAACACAGAGAGAAAAAGAAGAGGTTTACTGTAAGTATGTAACATACAGCATACGGGAAAATTTTTGTTATAGAAAATATTTCCATTTCTGCTTTTGTTCTTCCCTAAGCTAGAATGTTTCTCTTTCCCCCATTTCTGAATATCTAGATTTTATTTCTTTTGAATGATGTGTCCTCCACAGAGTCTGCCCTGCTATTATAACAAAAATAAAACTTCCTTCTTTAATGCGTATTTTTGCCTGTTTTCCCATTTCCTTGAAGAACTATACAAAACTATCTCAGACCCTCTTTATCAGAAAATGTATGTATGTGGTCTAGTGCGGTGGTGTACACCTACAATCCCAGCAGCTTGGGAGGCTGAGGCAGGAGGATTGCAAGTTCAAAGCCAGCCTCAGCAATTTAGCAAGGCCCTAAGCAACTAAGTGAGACCCTGTCTCTAAATAAAATATAAAAGAGGGTTGGAGATATGTCTCAGTGGTTAAGTGCCCCTGAGTTCAATTCCCAGTACCAAGGAAAAGAAAATGTATGTGAGCATACATACTGGTCTACATACTGATAATTTTATGTATGCTGTCAGGTGTTGTTGATCCATGTTAAGAATTTCTGTCATGAAGTTTCCGTAGTATCTTTCCTATGACATTTATTACTTTGTTTTGTTTTTAATATTGTTGTATCAGATGTCCTTTTTTTCATCTTAGAAGCAAAACCCACTTCTGATTTTATTTTTTAATACTGTAGTATCTGTTATATAGCTTTATAAAGAATAAGCACAATGAATATTTCCTGTTGTTAGTATACAATAGAGAATAACCACTTTTTAAATTAACATAATGAAACATACAATATTGTATTTATTTCCAGTAGTCCAGTTAGTATATACAGATATCTCCTACCCTTCTGAAAAAAAAAAAAAGTCATTTATCTAAGTGATCTAGTCGTATAAAGTCCCCTCTGCTGAGTAGTGTTAAGAAATTCATTTAACAACTTAGATCTGTTTAACACTTATTTTGATCTAGGTAAAAATGCCCAGGTTTTGTTAATTCTGCTCTTTTTTCTTATTTTGACATACTTCTCCAGGTTGTCATCTTGACTTATGGGCAGGAGGGTATCTCCTTTCACAGTATTGATTGAGTAGATGACTAATTTCATGGTAACCTAGAGAAGGCTCTTGTATTCTGGTCATCCCTGTAGATCTTTGCTGTTCTAGCTGTGGAATGGCTGGTCTAGCACATATCCAGATGTGGCTGACATCATATAGCCCTGGGCATTTTATCAGCTCTGTTGCTGGCGTCTGCAATTGATGGACTAACTTGGGATCTCTCCTTTTTTGGCTTGGCCAGGGTCCTAAAGGGGCCCTCTACTGATTCAGGGCTTTGGCTCTCAGTAGCCAAAGAACCTCCTAAGGCTGTGACATGTTCTTTCCTGCTCTTGACTCAGTAGTCCCTCCCAGCCTCCAATGAGGGTTTCACCTGACCCCTGCCAGTTGAGCCCCATGACAAGCAACTTTCAGTTCAGAGTGCATGTCACATGGGAGGTGAGAAAAGCTGGAGAGTTAAACTAAACCCTTCATCTGAACACTACACTCTGCCTTTTTAACTGTGTGGGCTAGGTGCTCCCAAATGGTGGCTTTCTCCCAAGAAAGGGAGAAAAGAAACAGCCTCTCTGCTCTCTGTTCTTTCCTAAACAAACACACCTCCCACCTCCTGAATCAATGGCCAGAGCAGAGAGATTGGAGGCCATTTACCACTTTTCATGTGTGCTGTCAGCCTCTATATTGCAGTGGTATCTTAAACAGTGTGCATTTGTTACACATGATTTAAACACATTTTTACTAATATCACAATGAAGGTAAACAAGGGTTAATAAACCTTGGGTAAAGTAGGGAAGTGTGTGCAAGTTTTTTTCCTTCCCTCTTCTTATTTTTACCTGTGGGCCATTCTGTGCTTCAGGGACTTTACCTCCTGCCAAGTTTGACAGAAATTCATAACATTGAAAGTGTGGGCTGTAGGTTGTGTCAGATGTCCTTTGATTTTTCAGGGTATAGGTATTTCCATGTTTTCTGAGAAACGGTCAAGGAAGACTTCAGCAACTTTCTTACCTAGCTGTGCCCACATGTGCTCTGAGTTCTCAGAAGCCTTGTCCAAATCACCATGTTCATTTATTTCTTCAGATTCCCAAATGTTGCCTCATTACAGAGACTTTTTCTGGCCTCTTAAAATATAAAATAGCACCTTCAAACCCCACCCCAAACACCCTTTCACTCTTTCCTGATTAGTAACTCTTTATTAGCTGTAATCATCACCTGACTTTTGGCGTTTATTTACATGTTCTTTGCCTGCCAAATCAAGGTCCTTTGAAGCAAGAACTTCCCTTACTATTGTTTTACCATCCCCTATAACAGAGATAGTAGATGTTTAGTAAGTATTTGTTGGATGAAAATAGTACTAAGTTCATGTATTAGTTACTGGGTCACAATAGTGCTGTCCTCAGTCCTCAAGAAACTTGATTCTAATGAACTCAGATAGACCCCTCGTCATCCGACACAGACACTCTGTTCAGCTTCAGCAAGTCCAGATGCTTGTAGAACAAAAATAGACCTTGTGTTACTGAGTATTCAATAATATTTTTACACTCTTCTCATCTTTTATGTAACTCCCATAGATTCATGCATTGCATTCTAGTATGTCTTGACTTAAACCAAGTCTACATTATATTTTCATTTATCCACTTGACAAACTGTCGGTGAATTCTGTATTATGCCAGGAATCTTCAAGGCACTAGAGATTCAATGGGTAACACAGCTGTAGCTCTCAAGAACTTGAATTCTGGTGAGAAAAGACAGACCAAGTAAATACTCAAATAAAAATAATTTCGTATTACAATCAGTATTGTATTGTTTCTGTGAAATCCTGCTTTTTTCCAGTAGAAGTATTTTTTAAATTTTAAATGTTTTTTTGCTTGTTATTTTATTAGAACTTACTTAATAAGCACTTGTCTATAACCATACTGTTAGTTAATAATTTCACAAGACCTTATTTCCTGTAAATATATTTGCTGCAGATCCACTCCAGCCTGGAACCCAAGAGTGGTTCTGTTCTTGGCTGTACCTGGGAGCCAGGGGAGGCCACCTGACATTTCTAGGGACTACTGTCCTCACCAGGAAATCAGCATACGAATTTAAGAGCCTGGGCCAAGCGCGGTGGCACATGCCTGTAATCCCAGCGACTTGCAAGGCTGAGACAGGAGGATTGTGAGTTCAAAGCCAACCTCAGCAAAAAGCAAGATGCTAAGCAACTCAGTGAGACCCTGTCTCTAAATAAAATACAAAATAGATGTGGCTTAGTGGTCGAGTGTCCCTGAATTCAATCCCCAGTACCCCACAAAAAAACAAGAAGGGTCTGGGGATGTGGCTCAGTGGTTGAGTGCCCCTGAGTTCAATCCCCAGTACCATTAAAAAAAAAAAAATTTTTTTTAAGAAGTTTGCTGAATATGGTGGTACATTCCTGTAATCCCAGTCACCTGGAGGCTAAGGCAGGAAGACTGCAGATTCAAGGCCAGCCTCAGCAATTTAGTGAGACCCTGTCTCAAAATAAAGAATAAAAGGGCTGGGGATGTGGCTCAGTGGTTAATTTAACACCTCAATGTTCATTTAAGCACCCCTGAGTTCAGTTCCCAGTACCAAAATAAAAGAATTTAAGATACTCACAATCATATAAACTTAAGGTTTTTGTCGTTCCATAGCAGTGCTCCTCCCAGGCCTGTCTGATCCTACGTGCTGATCACACATAATCTGATCTTAGCTTCACTGGCATCTTGACTAGGTCTTCTGCCCTTCACTTCTGCCCTCTTTCTCTGGGGAGAGTATTACCTGACAACAAATTCTAACATGTTATACCCAGTTACTCTCTCTAAGACAACTCAGTGCCTTTATTAGAACTTAACTTAATAAGCACTTGTCTATAACCATACTGTTAGTTAATAATTTAAGAACTGGATCACCTGTAAGTGATGTTGTACCCAAGTGCTTTTCTTTCTCTCTGAGTGATATATGTCTCTTGTCCAGGTGACTGATACCAAAGACTTGACTTCACTTTCCAGTTGACGCTGTATCCCCCCACAGAAGGCTTTATATTTTGGGGTCCTTCAGTGAAACTGTGGCCCTGTGAATGTGTCTATATATTAATAGTACTACAGAATTTCTATAACATAATCACATAAAATATCAGATTGTTGCTTTTCTTACAGTATTATCTAAGGTGAACTTGTGGATATAGGTTACCTATCTTTCATAGGAAAGGAGAGTTTGTATTCCTTTGTGTTCTTGTCTTCTGAGATAAAGTTTCTCTTTTAAGTTGTCTAACAAACCATATGAAATATCGTAAACCTCAAAAGCAACTTATATTTCTTGTCATCACTATAAAATAATACAATTGATAAACCAGGTCCTACATCAGCCAGCCTTTCATCATATACCTGGATTCTTGTTATTTTTCCTTTAGAAATTATACAAAATCCTTGGGGTCCTAAACTCTTCTCTCATAATTCATCACAATATGTGGAATTATATTCTGAAAGTATCTATGGGTGAATCTTAAGAGAGTTCATTCTATAACTGTTGATGATTTGATACTGCTTCTGGTACATAGAGAATAGAAGGTTTAGATTTTTATCTTGAGTTTTATGTTGTTCATTTAAGACTATGAACTTGGGCAAGTTATTTAACTTGTTGGCTCTCACTTTCTCATCTGTAGTGGAGGTTAATAATTTTTGTTCTGATTACTTCATAGGGTTGTTGATTATAGTTATGGGATCATGTATTATGAAAATGTTAAGCCCGTGTAAGATGATATTAGAAAATCTGAGTTACAAACTCTTAATTTAAAGAGTACTGCATAAAAGATGGCCTGCAAAAAAGAGTAATAATAGTTTAGTGTTTACTCTGTGCCAGGCATTACTTTTGAAAGTACTTGATAATTTCTAGCATTACTTTTGAAAATTCTTTATAAATTTTATAATATTTAGTACATATGATGTTATACTCTTGAGAAAAACCTGAAGCAAGACTGGCAAAATGTCAGAATTCAGTAGATCCAAATAATGAATATTTGTATGTTATTTTCTAAAAATTACAGCAATATTTTATAACATTAAAAAATAATCACCTCTTGATAAGATTAACATTTCAGTTGGTTTGCTTATGTGCTTGAGAATAATATGTAAACATTAATCTTAATACCAGTTTTGCAAGTATAAAGACATTTTTACAAATTTAACTAATGGGGGTTTTTGGAGTTAAGATTTCTTAAATTAATGTTATTTTTATATCTGCAGGTTTATAAAGTTCTGGTCTCTGTAGGGAGGAGTGAGTGGTTTGTCTTCAGGAGATATGCAGAGTTTGACAAACTTTACAACACTGTAAGTAATAGTCTACAAGATTCTACTTGAAACACCTTGAAAAACCCCCAAAGATTTATTGGAGTGAATAAATTAATACTAACATGTATCAGAAAAGCAGAAAAGGGTAAGGGATTCTTAAAAAGCATCCTAACAGGAATTCTTACAAATAAGGGTGCAGAGAAGACTGTTGAGCAATTCCAAATAAACTGTTGAACAGCTTACATACATTTTATTGTCAGAGACTATTAGAAAAATCCTTCATACCAAATAATAGTTGTTACTCATCATGGTATTTCTGCTGAATAATTGCCCAGTTATAAGCTTTAGATCTGAAAGTCTGTCATGAGCCCACCCTCTTTCCATATGTTATTTTTAGTTAGGGATAAGTCTTAGGTTCTAGGGTTGTTGTGTTTTTTGTATTGTTGTTGTTTGGTTGGTTGGGTTTTTTTGTATTGTGGATTGAGCCCAGAAGTGCCACGGAGCCACATCACCATATCCCCAGTTATTTTTTATTTATTAATTTGAACAAGGTCTCGCCCAGTTGCTGAGGATCTCAGTAAATTGCCGAGGCTGGCCTGGAACTTGCAGTCCTCCTTCCTCAGCCTCCCAAGTTGCTGGAATTACAGGTGTGCACTACCATGCCCAGCCAGAGTTTTTTATTTGTTGTTGCTGTACTAGGGATTGAACCCAGAGGAACTCTATTATTGAGACACATTCACAGTACCCCTACCCCCATCCCTTTTTATTATTTTGAGTCAGGGTCTCACTAAGTTACCTGGGCTGGCCTTGAATTTATAATCCTCCTGCATCGGCTTCCCGAGTTACTAGGATTACAGGCATATGTAACTATGCCCAGCCATTTTAGATTCCAGATTTTAAGTAGCTAAAACAACTGAAATGAGTATTAATTTTCTTTCAGATACTTGGTGGGTGAGATTCTTTTTAAGTGGGTTTTTAAAAAATATGCTCTTTTTAGATATACATGGCAGTAGAGTGTATTTTGATAGTGAAAGCTAAGAGACCACTGACTACCTAAGTAACTAAAACCTGATTTTTATATATTCATAATTCAGATAGTAAAGAATATTCATAATAATAATGTTTAAAGTTGCACAAACTTTCTAAAGTAGACAGCAAAACAGCAGCATCATTGTAACTCATCAGGCTCAATACCACCAAGTACTGATGTGGATGGGGGTTGTTGCCTTGAAAGATCTATGTGGAGGACAAGAATGCCTAAGTTCATCTCCAGATTAGGGCAGCTGTGAGTTCCAAACTTTGCTTCAGTCAAGTAAAAAGCAATTGTGGCCAAGCATAGTGGTGCCCGAAGACTCTGAAGGCTAAGGTAGGAAGATAGCAAGTTTGAGGCCAGCCTTGGCAACTTAGTGAGATCCTTAGAAACTTAGCGAGAATCTGTCTCAAAAAATAAAAAAAATAATAATAAAAAGCTGGAGGTGTAGCTCAGTAGTAAAGCACTTATAGGTTTAGTCCCCAGTATCAAAAACAAAACCAAAGATACAACTATGCCTCAAATTCCAAGTTTCAGTTCTTTATGTTCTCATAATAATGAGGTTTCCCAGTGTTGTTTAATAAGTGGGAAATTATTAGACATCCTCTGTATTATATACATAGGATGATAATTTTTAAAATTTCTTAACCCTGGTTCCTGAGACATATAAATATGTAAGTTACTAGTTACAAGATTTTTTTTTTAGACATTTTTCTTTTCTTTTTTTCTCTTTTTTATTTTTCAGAGCCAGGGATTGAACCTAGGGCCTTGCACATGCTAGGCTTGTGCTCTACCCCTGAGCTACATGCCCAGCATAATGTTTTTTTTTTTTTTAATGAGGGAAATTAAGTATATCTCCATTAAGAGACACATTATTTCCTAAATGGGCCAGAACAATGTCTATCTATAGAACTTTCCATTATTCATTAAGTAATGAAAATTAAGACTTCTGATTTTATCTCATTTAGCATTTTACTATATTTGTATTTGTTCCAAATAACATTCAGATGACATCCTAATTGAAACTGAACTTAATAATATTGAAATTTTTAAATGGTATTTGTTCCTATGCAAAATTAATAATATTCTAGCAAGTCTATATAATAGAGGAAAGTAAAACTACATTAAACTTTAAAGTCAGCCATCAGGCTGAGGATGTAGCTCCATAGTAGAGTACTTAGGTAGCATGCATGAGGCCCTGGGTTCAATCCCTGGTACTGCAAAAATCCATAAATACATTTTACTGTATTTTCTTTGTATTATTTTCTTTAATATCTGTGCAACTGAAATATCTATATAGTTTCAAATATTGCTTAGTCAAAGGATATTGAGATTCTTTTAACAATAGAGTTTGTATATGGGATATCCTTTGTAAATTTTTAGTGTTTTTTTAAGATATGGTTTACATTGGAGCCTGGGAAGGGCTGAACTGTGAGACGTAAAATACCTGTTAAAATACCCACTAAAGCTCTTGTATACCTACTATCTACATAGCATTTTTTTTTTGAGATCTATATTAATCTCACTGTACCCATCAAAATGGCTAAGTTATTCTTTGGTGAAAGTAATATGACAGTAGTATCTCACATACACAGTACACTTCAGATTTTATCATCCGTCTCATTTCTCTTATATTCCTCTTCCTTTTTGTTTTTTGGTTTTTTCTTTTTGTGTACCAGAGATTGAACCTAGGGGTGCTTAACCACTGAGCCATATTACCAGCCCTTTTTCATATTTTATTTAGAGATAGGGTCTCACTGAGTTGCTCAGGGCCTCACTGAGTTTCTGAGGCTGGGTTTGAACTTTCGATCCTCCTGCCTCAACCTTCTGAGTCACTGGATTACACATGTGCACCACCATGCCCAGTGGGGTTTTTTTCTTATTTCATCATTTTCTTTGTCTCTTTTTTAACATAACTGCTTTTAATTCTGCCTTCTATGGTGAGGGGCAAAGAAAAAACTAGGAGAATGATATCATTTGTGTTCTTTGAAACTATAGAGGGCAGGTTAAACCTGGTCTAGTAGAGTTCTAGCTTAGTGGGAGTTTAGAAAATTCTTCTGTAAAAAGTTTAAGGATGGGTGCTTCATGAAGAAGAGAATAAAAGTAATCATGCAATAATATAACCAAAGCAAGCTTTATCTTTATGCTTAAAGATCCTCAAATATTAATACCCCAACTAATTAATCACCAGCTGATAAAGTCATGAAACCTCATGGAGACCCATCACTGGTACAGATCTCTGCTGAGTTTTTACAAGAAAACTGAAGCACATGGATGTTGAGTAACTTATCCAAGGTCACACAAATACTATGTGTTTTATTGAGACAAAATAGGATGGTAAATCTGTGGTATTTTATTGGAATGATTTAATATTACACATAATATGATCATATAGTTAAGTGTGTCTTACGGTGAATTTTATTTAAAATCAGATTGTTTTGGGTTTTAGTGTATGCATTACTAGAAGACCTAAAAAATTAGTTCATGTGATACTACTTTTTAAAATTTTAGTTGAAGAAGCAATTTCCTGCTATGGCCCTGAAGATTCCTGCCAAGAGAATATTTGGTGATAATTTTGATCCAGGTAAGCATTAACTTTATAGACCAATCATTAAGTAAGTGACGGTTGAAGTTTGAAGAAGTAGTTAACTTATTCATTGCACTGCATAGTAGTGCAGAAATTTTAAAAGTCAGTTTCTCCCATGTTCTGTGAGAATAATGTCTCAGGAAGGTATTTGCTCTATACCAGTCATGATTTTAAGTACTTTGTACTTAATAAAAAAAAAAGTAAGAAATCTTGATAATTAAGTAAAAGAGAGGAGAACCAAAAATAATAAAACCATAAGGCCTGGATAACTGAGAGAATTAATTAATTCAAAGTGGCAAAAATGAATGAAGAACACAACTGCATGTTGATGATGAGCCTTGAACTTGGATTCAAGTTCTGTAGAGCCCTTGGTTGAATCCTCGAGGCTGAATTATTTCCTCAAGGGCAGAAGGCAAAGTAAAAGACCTGCAACATCATTGCTTCATTGTTGAAAGCAAAATACAGGCTGCATGCCTTGTGGTGTTTATGTTTTCATAAATTAACTATTTGACACTAAAAATTCATTTTTGTTAAAGAGCTGTTTGAAATCTATCCTGAGCATATTGTGACTTGCCAACAGTGAAACAGATTGTGTGTCATAGAGATCTTGAAAAACCCTGCAGTGAAGAAATCAAATCTATTAAAAACTCTGAAGATAGATAAGATGCTTGGGGAAACAGCATTTTGCTGGTGGGCATGCACAGTGGTACAATCCTTGGAGAGAGGAATGTGGTTATACCAACAAAAATGTATGTATATTTCACTTTGACCAAGTGGGATCTACCCAAAGATAAACCATATATACTGAGAAACTATATATGAAATGATATACATGAAAAACTGCATATTGTGATATGATTTTTACAAGAAAAAACTGAAATCAATTGAAATATACTTTCAAGTCTACAATGCAATGTAGCTGTAAAAAAGCTACATTGCTATGGAGTGACCTCCAAAATATATAAGGTCGGGGAAAAGGGTGCAGATGAGTTTGTATAGTGTGTATTTTTTGTGTATGAAAAAGTGTGGTTATTTGAAAAGAAATAATAAATAAATAAAAATATTAAAACCATTGATTTTGAGGAGGGATAAGACCAGAGGAGGCAACAGGGGTGGAAGTTAGATGTCTCATCTTGTTTATGTCTTTGACTTTGGAACCATGTATACATTTTAAACAACTTAAAAGCAAACATAAAAATGCAATAACAAAACATTTTCTAAGACTTTTTTTTTTAAGTGTCTATTAAGTATCTTCCAAGGTACTATGTTGAGGACTAAAGATAATAAGGGGTTTTTTGGTTTGCTTTTTGTTTTTTGGAGCACTGGAGATTGAACCCACAGGTACTCTACCACTGAGCCACATACCAGTCCTTTTAAAATTTTATTTTGAGACAGGGTCTCACTAACTTGCTGAGGCTGGCCTTGAACTTGCAATCCTCCTGCCTCAGACTCCTGGTAGCTGGAATTTATAGGTGTGCACCACTCCACCCAGCAAGATTTTTCAAATCCTTGCCTTCAACAGCTCTTGTAGAAACCACTTTTCAATTCTCAATTTTAACCTTCTCTGCATCTTTTAAAATATATATTCATATAAGGTCTCAATTGGAAAAAAATTTTTATACATATCTCCAACTATAGTTCTTAAAGATAATATGTTGAGGAGGGAATCCAAGATGGCAGGCCAAAGGGAGGCAGCATTCTGTGTCGCACCATGACCTAGGATTCAAGTACTTAGAATACAGCTTCTCTGTGAACAATATTCCTGCCCCCTGCACAGGAAGCACCATGCCTGTCCAGGGCTCCAGGCCTCAGCCTCAGAGTAGGTCTCCCAACTATTCACTCACGCAGGACTACCGCCCAAGCGAGACCATCAGCAGATGCAGCAGCACCCTCAAAGAACTTTTGGCCACCCACCCAAGCAGAAATAATGGATGTGCTCCCAAGGAGAACACCCAGTAGCTTCCCATGAGTAGGAAATCTGGCCGCCACCCCTGGTGGACCCCCATCTACCAACATGGGGCTCCCCCGGTGGCCACCATCTTGGGCCTGTGCAGCAGTGGACATAGTCCCCTATAGACAGTAGCCTGCCTGCACCCAGGAACTTCACACAGGCTCTGAAGTCAGCCAACACTGCAAGCCACAAAGCTTGTGGCTGAACTCATCATCCAACACCATTGCCTGGCTCCCCTGACCTGACCCGGCATCCTACTACTGAAAGCAGGAGCCCCCATCTTGGGTCATCATCATCATCATCATCTTCAGGTACCCAGTTTCTAACACGCCCCTCGCTCTAGCATCCACTAACCTGGCACAGTGACACCCTTCACCATCCTGAAGGTGTAGATACCAGCTAACAACAGACAACTCCATCTATAGGACCAGAAGGGAAGCATGAAAGATATTGATCTCCAACCAAAACAATCCTTTATTCTTTCAAGATTATTTTTTTCTTTTCCTTTCTTTTTTTTCCCACCCTCACATCCCCAACATATGTGAAACCAAGTGCTTTGCATGAATTAGGATTTTGAGGACTGGGACATTTGAATAGTATATTACAGTTGTGTTGTACATTCTTTTTTATTTTTATTTTTTTTCCCACCAATTTCTGCTATTTTAACATTTTTTATTTTTCTTGATATATATGTGTGTTTATACTCTACTGTCTTCCCACTTATTTGTTTACTCAAATTTACTTCTGATCCCTTTTCCTGCTACTAATCTTCTTTAGATTTCTCTTTCACACTTCCTAAGATACAACAACTGTATATCAGCACCTCCTACCTCCTCAGCATATCATTTTCCTCCTCACTCCCAGTTTTTTGCCTACCATCAGAAACTGTAAACCCTTTTACAAACCTGCTGATAGATAATAATTGAATTCACCATTTCTGTACAAAGTGACCAAACTGTACATGTCTTATTAGCAGACATTTGTTTTTAGGGTGTATATTGTTTACATTGGGATCTGATGCCATTGTACTTCACCTCAAAGGAGAGGTATTGGATCCTTACAGGGGCACTATAAGCCTAAGGGTAAAAACAGTAATGCCTAGTATATACAGTACTAGAAGGGAAGACACATAAGCAATATGAAAAGGGAAGAAAGTGCCCCAAACAAATCAAGATACTACATTATTAGGATCCATAGCAAGCACAGCCAAAGAAATTACACAGAAGGAGTTCAGGATGTACGTAATTAAAATGTTCTGCGAATTTAAAGGATGATATAAGAGAGCAAATACAGGCAGCAAAAGATCATTTTGACAAAGAGCTACATAAACAAATACAGGAAGCAAAAGATTAATAGGGAGATAGAGGTTAAATAAAACAGAAATCCTTGAAATGAATGAAACAATAAAACAAACAAAAAGTTCAATTGAATGCATCACCAACAGATTAGACCACTTGGAAGACAGGACCTTAGACAATGAAGACAAAATATATAATATTGAAAAGAATGTGGACTACATAGTGAAAATGGTAAGAACATTCAAGAAATATAGGATAGCATAAAAAGACCAAATATAAGAATTATTGGAATAGAGGAAGGAATAGAGTTCCAAACCAAAGGAATGAGCAATCTATTCAATAAAATATTATCAAAAATTTCCAAACATGAAGAAACCAAATTTAAGACGCTTACAGGATGCCAAATGTACAAAATACAACAGGTCCACACCAAGCCACATTATAATGAAAATGTCTAAATACAGAATAAGGAGAGAATATTTAAAGCCATGAGAGAAAGGAATCAGATTACATATAGGGGGAACCAATTAGAATATGCGCAGATTTTTCAACCCAGGCCCTGAAAGCTAGAAGATCCTAGAATAACACATATCGAGCTCTGAAAGAAAATGGATGTCAACCATGATAAACAGAAGTTAAAAGATTTTTACAGCTTAAAAGTCTGCACTACAGAACATCCTCAGCAAAATATTTCATGAAGAGGAATTGAAAACAACAATGAAAATCAACAAAGGAAGGTATTACACTAAAGGAAAAACTAATCAAAGGAGAAACCAAGACAAGTTAAATCTGAAAAATAAACAAAAATGGCTGGAAATGAAATTCATGTCTCAATAATAACACTGAATGTTAATGGCCTAAACTCACCAATCAAAAGACATAGACTGGCAGACTGGATTTAAAAAAAAGAAAACAATATGCTGCTGCCAAGAGACTCATCTCATAGGAAAAGGCATCCACAGACTGAAGGTAAAAGGTTGGGGAAAATAATAATACTTACATGGGCTGCGGAATCAAACGGGTTTCCATCCTCATATTAAAGTAGACTTCAGGCCAAAGTTAATCCAAGGGTTAAAGAAGGATATTTCATACTTCTTAAGGGAACAATTCATCAACAAGACATAACAATAATAAATTTATATGCCCCAAACAATGGAGCAATTAGGTTCATCAGACACTCTTCTCAGGTTCAAGAGTCAAATAGACCACAACACATAATTCTGGGTGACTTTAGCACACCTCTTTCACCACTGGATAGATCAACCAAACAAAAGCTGAACAAAGAAACTATAGAACTTAATAACTTAGACTTAACTGACATATATAGAATATCTCATCCTTCAGTGAACGGATATTCTTTCTTCTCAGCAGCACATGAATAGACCATATCTTATGCCACAAAGCAATTCCTAGCAAATATAAAAAAGTAGAGCTATTACCCTGCATTCTATCAGATCTTAATGGAATGAAATTAGAAATCAATGATAAAATGAAAAATAAAAGCAACTCCAACACCTGGAGATAAATAATATGCTACTGAATGAACAATGGTTGGAAAAGACATCAATGAGGAGATTAAAAGATTCTTAGAGATGAATGAGAACACAGATACAACATATTGAAATCTCTGGAATACTATGAAGGCAGTACTAAGAGGAAAGTGTATTGCATGGAGTTCATTCCTTAAAAGAAGAAAAAGTCAAATAAATGACTTAACATTACCTCTCAAAGCCCTAGAAAAAGAACAA